TGTTAGTCTTGATGAAATATCCAAACTTAAATATATTTTGACACTGGTCCATGATCGTTGAATGACCCCTCTGCACTAATTATTGCACCTTTAATGTTGTTTGACAATTTCCAATTTGTTGGATATCGATTTCAGGTAAAACTAAAGGGTAGGTGGTCCTATCAAATTTTGGTCCTACTCTCCGCTATCATGGTGACCCAATAACAATTATTTTCCTTATTATGTATACACAGTCAGGGTCAGTAAGGGCCGTAAGGAAAGGGGACCATAATCCCCAAGGGACCATAATTTCTTTTACACCGGGTCAATATTTCGATGGCCGTCAAAAAACAATTTTTTTTTTAAGTTGAATATTTCCTTCATTCATTACTGACTGTTTTGCGATAATTTAGTTTAGTGGAAGGCATTGAATGATAGATGTTCACTGGGGGGGGGGGTGCTAATTGAAAAATGCGTCACTCTAAATTACAGTGACTTAAAGCATGGGATGCTTAAAGGGACAAAGTGCGTAAATGAAGTCTCACTTTTGATCTTCATAGTATTTCCAATGGATTAATAAGAACCTGATTTTTCATTTGACACCAAAAACAGCTCAAACAGACCCCATCAGACTTCGCAAATTTAATGCGAAAATTATTTAGAAATATTTTTTATAACTGTTTTTGTTCACATTTTTTGTTTTTTTAGTGCAATTGTTTTTGCTCCTTTCTACCAATTCTTGAGAATGAAATAAAATGTCTTTCCGAACCTTGTTGGAACAAAATAACAAAATAACACTTACAACATGTTTTTAGTCCTCAGTCAATATTATAGTTATACAAAGGAATTCTTGGTTGATTTTAAAAAAAGTATTCAAAAAATTCAAACAAAATCCCCCCAAAATAGATAAAAATCAAGATAAACCTTTTATTTCATTTAACAAGATACTTTTTTAAAATCAACCAAAATTTCCTTTGTACAATTACAATATTGAGAGACCTAAACATGTTGTGTTTATGTCGTTTTGTTCCAATGAGGTTCGGAGATGTTTCATTTCACTCTGGAAACATGATACCAAGAACAAAACAAGTGTTTGATGTGTTTTCTAAAACAATATAGATGAAAGTATATATATTTTTTCAGATTATATTGTTACCATTCAAAGGATGATCATTAAATTGAAGTTGTGTAAAATTTTCAGTATGTTTAGATGACTGGTTTAAGAGAAATGCGTGTTCAAAAAGTTCACCATATCGATACCCCTCTTTTAGATTTTTTATGACTGGTTTAAGAGAAAAGTGTGTTCAAAAAGTTCTCCACCACTCCTTAAGGCCCATTTCTGGATTAAGTTAAATATTGTGGCAAATAAAATAAAAGGCAAATAAAAGGCAAAGTAATAACCAAAAAGGCCCATTTATTGAAGCTCGCCAACACTTTTTCCGGCCCCATCCTAAGGGGGAGCGGGCCCCAAGAGAGCATTTCAGTTGCAGAGATTCGAAGAAATTTGTGGGGATAATTTTTCGTCCCCTGTGTTATTTGGCTTTATTTTTTCCAGATGGTTCCTAAAAAAGATGATTTAACCTAGACGACTGGGGAGTTAGGGTTAAAGTTGCCAAACATTTGGAGGGGATTACGTCATTTATTCTTAAAAGTTTATAATGCGTTACACTTATATTCCCAGTACTATAAAGTGTTTATTTTATTTTAAGAAACTAAAGGATGCGAGAATGTATGCAATGGTATGCAATATTTCTATTCTAAAAAATGTTGTCGTGTTATTTGAAGGTCTGTACGTATGTAATCTCCGAACGTTTGATTTAGTCTTTTAAGCCCACTATATATGTACGGATGTACGGATTATGTTTAATCCTCATACACGTGAAACAACGCGGTCTTTCATCATAAAAAGGCATATGTTTACCCGCGATCAGAATTTCGACTACGAGAAATGGCTATGTAATTTATGAAGAGAAATGGCTATATGTGCATGCAATCAGCTATGTTATATTACTACTAAACTGGCCAGAAAAAGTCAACTTTAGTCGTTGTGGCTCGTTTTTCACAGATGGCAGAAATTTTCTTGGGAAATAAGTCTTACATCCTAAATAAAATGTACTGTATTTCTTTAGGATGTATTTTCTTAGAAATATTCTGCCATCTGTGCTTGCTTCTTATCACTACCATTCGAAATTGGTACGATCACTAAGTATAGGGTGTTATGGATTTTAGATATCTGAGCTACAAACGTTGTGCCAAACCCATGAAACCGCTCTACAGGGCGTATAAAAAACGCAACAAGTAGTTATCTCGTAAAATCACAAAACTAGTGATGACTACATCAATTACATTCAATGTACCATAAAGCCATGTCTCTCCTCTTTGCAAAAATATGTCATTCATTCACATGTGGTAATGGTTGGGTGAGAAATCCTTCCATTTGCACAGTGGGTCAAAATCAGCTCTGTACCAAGTTTTAGATATTGAAAAAATCAGTGCAAGGGCTAAGTGCCAATGGAAGTTCCCCTGACTTGAATCGTTGTGACTTTTTCTTTTGGAGCTATCTCAGGAGCATCTGTGCTCACAATTCCTCCACCAGATATTGCAAAACCATTAGAAAGATTTGCCCATGGGCTGCTTTTCTTTACTTTAACCCACACATGATTCAGGGCTGAACCATGCATGAGGTGGACAGATGAGTGCATCTTTATGTGCAAGGAAGTGGTTGCAATTCGGAGGGTTATAAGACATATTCTTGCAAGAGTATGAGTATGAACACTTTACTGTCTATGCCATACCTGTCACACCTTCTTCCAATAGCCCCTATGCCCCTTGTACTGACTTTTGCAATGTTTTAAACTTGGGTCCGAGCTGAATTTTGCCCCACTTTGCAAAATTAATGATTATTCGGCCAGAGATGACTCCCTGTGAATGAATGATATTCCATTACAAAGAGGAGTAATTTGGCTTTTGGTACATTGAATTGAAAGGACGCGGTCAGCATCACGGTGTATAACCCAAATGCACGACGGAGCGTTACATTTACGCGGAAACGCTCCAGAGCGAAATAAAATGGCGGCTAATGAAGATTCTACTATGACCGTAAGTATTGTTTCTCTCGTTTCTCTTACATATCATATGTCATGGTGAAATATTATGTACCATTCGATGAACAATACCGTGAGCAAAGATCTTATTTATTCAACTTCTGGTGGTAAACTGTTATTTGCTTGATCAAAGCTCCGTAGTGTAGATCGAACGAATCTGAAGATGACGATTTGACCACAAATTACGAATTAAACTCGTATTTCTATGAAAATGTTAATCTTTCTGTTTAAGTAGTAGATCACAAACTCGTATATTCTCATTTCCTAAAATCCCAGTCCAAATCCATTACTTGTTCTCGAGAAATCGCTTGTTTTCCTCGAAACGCTCCGTCGATTTAGACCACAATTTTAGAAACGCTCTTACCTTTTTGTTTTGATATCATTTTCAGATTATTAGAGAAGAGTTCCGAATCGAATCTATCTCTCAAAAACGTGTTGTACTTGTTAGGCAAATTGAAACATCTGAACCTGGTGGTGCTAAACGTGCAACTAGCTGATTAAAGCCTATACATTAGATGATGTCATGCCTACATATGTGCTAAATCATAAAACTATAGAAAAAACGAAAAGTTATATGTGAATTAATCTTTCTTCTATTGATGCCAAGGGGTATAATAGATCTTTTCTTTCTCTTCCTGAAAAGGAAAGTCAAGCTATATATTTCCTTAACTGATCTAGACTACCGGAGCGTTTCAAATTCACTGTGTTAACCAGATCGGAGCGTTTCTTGAATATGAGAATGTCATCATTTTTAAGACTGGATTTTCGGTCATCAAATCACTATTTCGATAATGTATGGTGCGTTGAAGCATTGGAATTTGACTAAAATATACGTTGGTGCTCTAATCTTGGCTCAACTAATCACATGTATTGACAAAAGGGGTTTTGACCGGTAGAATGACAAATACGTTTTTGAGTTTTGATAACTATACTGCTTCATACAGCTCTTCCTAATTGCTTCAAACGTCAACAGCCAGCCACGTATAACATGAATATCACACCCATCGAATGGTATACTCGAAATATGTAACTCATACCTCTTATTCCCATTATTGGGGAAATTGTCAGACGGCTCATCATTCCCGCCAGACAGTTTTCCTACTCCGGAGCGTTTCTTTGTTTAATTTCAGTAATGAAACGCTCCGTCGTGCATGTAGGAGCGTTTGGGTTATACACCGTGAGCATTGGTTTTATGTTTTCGTGCAACATTGCATCGGGCTCCGTACACTGACTTTTGCAATGTTTATAACTTGGCCCGAAGCTAATTTTGGCCCACTTTGCAAATGGAATGATAACTTCGCCAACCAAGACCAAATATCAATGAATGATATATCATTGTAAAGAGGAGACACATGACTTTATGGTGCATTGAATGAAATCAATGCTGTTATCACTGGTTTTGTGCTTTTCTAAGATAACAATCTGTTGCGTTTTTTTTATACGCACTGTATTGTATGGACACGTAGCGTCTGTATTAACAACACAAGAGAACATCAGCGATATGATAATCATTTAGCGATTTATTTGCTTTTCCAATCTTGCAGATTTGAAAGATTTTCTAGCGAAAATTGTACTATTCTTCATTCAACTCATTTTTCAGGTTTTCGGCCGTAGTAGAAACAAATCTCATTTGATCAATGGTAGAAGAAATATGAAATAATGGAAAATTTCAAGAATACGGATTGAAGGCCGACAAACCCCACAGCAATTAATTGAGGATGGTATGCCTCTAAGGAGGTCGCATACAATTGTGAACTTCCAGAGTGATTGGTGAATTTTGAGTGTGTCTGATGTATTCAGAGTCCATTGCAATATTCATTCACAAATTAGCGGAGTCCGATGTCCAGAAATAATCCCTTAGTTCATCTTTTAACTTGCTGGCACTGATGTAGAAACACTTGATCTGAGTGAAAACTGATTTCGGGGCAAGTGATTCGGGGTCGTCTAACAAATCTTGCTTAGTTATTTTCTCCCTTTAAAATTAATACTGTTTTGTTGTAGAAGTACCACTTTGCCCAGCACCACTTACATCTCGTCTTTGCTGCATATTTCTTTCACAGTACAATGACAGAAAGGCGACTGTATGGACTGCCGATGCGCTCATCTCTAAAGTTGCCAACAATAAATATATTGTCAGGGGAGTGTTCAACAATTCCCTGACCAATGCCAAGGAAAATTTTTGATGAAACGAGTAACGAAGACGAAATGGACAGGGGACAAAAGAGAAAAGATCTAGAGGAGAAACTACTATGAATGTTTGTATGTACAAACGTCTAGAAATGTTATTTCTTGTTCTGCGGAATTATCAATTGCGTTCGATGTGACAGGGAGGGGGTTCATCAGTCCAGTCCCTGGGTTAAGGCCTATTAATGAAAAGAAAATCTGTATATTGAGGATAGCATTACAGTATGCCATTACATCAGCCTTCTCAGCTCGTCTCAAATTAGTTTTGACGCAGATTTAATCAACAGAACAAGAGCTTTCCAACTTCATCAATTTTTTCGGTGGTCATCTAGATCTTTAAAAACCTGTGCGAGTTACTCTATGTTACTTAATTTCGTAACTTCGGTCGAATTACTTTGCGTAATTCCATTTTGTTCCTCAGTAAGTCTGTGTACGCCCATTCGGCTGCCGCTAAACGACGGCACATCCAGTCGTGGCGTTTGGCTGGATTCAAAACATATCCCTTGAGTCCTTTGCAGCATGGTTTTAATAAACTATCAGTTACATTATCTCTGTCTGTGCGGTGGCTAATACATGACTTGCCAATTTCTGAATTTAGCTGTCGAAATAGGTCTACTTCTTTTGCTAAACGTTGCCGTCCGTATTCATCTACCCTGCGCCAAAAGCTTGCATTGAAATAGTCATACATGACGTGTTCTTGATACATATATTCATCTAGCTTTTTCTTTGACTGTTGTGATAGATATTGAAGCGTCTTATTAGAAGACGAGGCTTCGTTCTGCTTTATGTAAAGGATGTCTTCCACCGTCCAACCGAACTGATTCTTGAGCATGACTAAACATTCATCAATATATTCTAGCAACATTACAAAATCAAATTCCTTATCGAAGTTTTGGATAATATCATTCAATCTTGTTCGATTATCAATTTCGTCATAAGATAGCCCTGCGTCGTAAAGAACGCCATGACGCACCCATTGCCCCGGACCACACTTGGAATAGTTGGACTTGAGTGTTCGAAACGAGCTTTTTTGTGGCACCTCATCAGGGATGGATCTCTCTACAAATTCATTTGCTGTACGGTTGCAGTTATGTCCACCAATTCCAAAGAAGTTATACGAGGAAACGAAAAGCTGAAAAAGAGTAAGAAAGTGGTCTTTATCCACCCATCAATAACAATATTTTTGATGTACATCAATGCATAGCGTAGAACCCAAACCTATTATGTGTTCGAACATGAGAGAACTAATTAACAAATAACTGTTTGATTTACAACCAGTGATTCAGATTTTTTCAATTGTCGACCCATTATTTAAGCAATAATTTTTGATATACAAGAACCCAATCCTATTTTGTGTTAAAACATCAAGAACATTAATTGCCAAATAATTGTTTGATTTAGAACATACTTATCAGAATGATACTTGTTAATGTTCGAGTTCTACTTGTGTTTGCAAAACATTTCTGTTGTGTATTAATACTTACGCTTTTTGGCTCTCGTAGTATAGTAAGAAAATATGCATCCTTTGGCATGATATATTTAACTTCCTCACTGTACACCAAATGATGGCACATGATGTCATAAGTACCATTTGGCGATACCAGAGGAATGACGCTGTCATTCTGAAAAGGGTGCCAGTACTTAAAATGATATGAAGAAGGTTTTGACGGTAATGCTAATGTCAGGTTATGCCTATCGGCGTATCTCATGAGTATATTCTGGATTGTCGAGCTCCCCGTCTTGTGCGTTTTAAGAAAGAATATCGGTCGGCCTTTCTTTAACATCGTTCTTCCATTTTTACTAGGATCGTTTGTATCAAAACCATCCAATCTTGGTTCCTGTCCCTTTCCACTGGCCATTCCACTTTGTTTTGTCATTCTTTTCATTAGTTTTCCAGTTTCATAGCTGCGCACTAACTTAAAGAACAACAGTTTATCGATGACAACATGCGTCTTATTGAACGCAGTGTTTTCCATCTTATCATGTTTGTCTTGATAATCGCCCGATTCAACTGTTGTAGAAAAGTATGAAAGATAGTTCCAAGTATGAAAATTAAATAAAAAACATATCGTAAAAATGGCAACAAACAGTCTCATTTTAAACCTCATGTTGGACAGTTAAATGTTTAACCTAAAGCAAACTATATGCAGTTTTAAATCAAATCATCTTGTTAAATAACAAGATCTAGAAACGTAACGGATTATTAATCTATTTTGCCTTTAAGACTTTACTTTCAAAAGTGGTCAAGCTTAAAGGCCCTATGAAAGGTTTGAGTCACTGGCTTAAAGTGTGCGCCTGACCCGGCTACGTATAGCACAGAGTTTATACTGGCGGATTAGACTAGTTCACTTTTTATATGTGTGTGAAAGCTTTCTCTTATTTGCGTTTTTTCGTTTAGTACGGTTTTGTTATAATTGCCGAGGTCATATAACCGGGATAAAACAATGATTATCGTTGACTGCCCACACACAAAACATACGTTGAGTGAACAGTGTTATTACAAACAACAGGCTTTAGAATACAAAGCGTATACTGGATGAGCGTGGTGTAAAAGTGGTTTTGAAAAGTAGCAAAGTTCTCTTCATGGTGGTTATTTGTGGTTTATTATTATACATTGATTCTGAAATCACTGGTGTCTAGTTTTTCAGCGTTTTGGAAGTATTCAGATTTATACCCCTCTGGTGTAATTTTAAGGGGGGTACTTGGAAAGCCATATATAATTCCAAGAATATAGAGCCAATCATCTTGATTTTTCCAGGTAATCTTGTACTTATCATGTCCTACCATTATCACAAGTTTCATTAAAGTTTATCAATTGTTTGCTATGGAAATGGAGATCATATGTTAAAAAGTACACATTTTCGTCAAAATGTAAGATACCCCATGAGACAAAACACATATTATTTTCATGAAATTGGAAGGAATCACCATGGAACCATTTTAGAAAACTTATTCAAAGTATATTTCATAATATTAAATCAACTGCTGTTTTATCTTATCCACACAGTGGAATCTATTGCTGATGATTATATGGCAATGCAAGTAAATTTATTAAGGGGACGTGGCACTTTTCCAAAGAATTCTTTATTTGTGTTCAACTTCTTGAAGAAAATAAGTAACCGTTTGTTCTGAAATTAACAGATATTATACACATCATTATGTTTGACTATCATGGAAGATTACTGGTTATTATGGTAAACAGATTTATACCCCATTGGTATGATTTTAAGGGGGTACAATGAAAGCCATCTATAATTCCTAGAATATACAGCCATTCATCTTGATATTTACAGGTTATCATCTACTTATAATGCACTACCACTATGACAAGTTTCATCAATGTTTAACACTTGGTAGCTATGGTAACAGAAATAATTGATTAAAAAGTAAACATTAAGGAGATACTATGTATAATTCCTAGAATATTCAATTAATCATCTTGATATTTATGGGTAATCATCTACTTATCATGTCTTACCAGTATGGCAAGTGCCATCAATGTTGGTCAATTGGTTGCTATGGTAACAGAAATCATTTGTTAAAGATTGCACATCAAGGGGGTACTATGTATAATTCCCAGAATATTTAATCAATCATCTTGATATTTACAGGTAATCATCTGCTTATCATGTTCTACCAGTATGACAAGTGCCATCAATGTTGGTCAATTGGTTGCTCTGGTAACAGAAATAATTTGTTAAGAAGTTCACATTAAGGGGGCACTATGAAAGCCATGTATAATTCCTAGAATATTCAATCAATCATCTTGATATTTATGGGTAATCATCCATTTACATGTCCTACCAGTATAACAAGTGCCTTCAATGTTGGTAATTTGGTTGCTATGGTAACAGAAATCATATGTTAAAAGAGTACACATTTTCGTAAAGATCTAAGACTAGTGCAACCTTTGACATTAAGCACATAATATGTTCATCATTTTGGGAGAAATAAGCATGGAAACACTTCATAAAACTTATCACATCTCATCAATCACAACAGTGGACGCTTTATTGCCATCACTGGTCATCAACGGACATGTTTTACACTCAGAGTAATACATGCTGTTGTTCTCAACTTTTTTTATGTCTGCTGGTTTTTTTTCAACTGTTCATTGATTTTAGAATTCATTAAGAAGCATTTCCAGTATTTTAAATTGGGTGTAATAGTTGTATATATCTCTTAGTTTGTTTATTACAAGTGATGTGGTAACTTGTTGATGACAAAATAGAGCCAAATTGGCCAGACCAACCCATTCCACCTGATGATCTCATAGACATACAGTCACATAAAGATTGCAACGGATACTTTGACAGAAGTAGACATTGAAAGATCTATGAATGAGGATTTTGATGCAAATTATATAAAATATGACTAAGTGAGATCAGCTCATAATTTACTATGACCCTACGCATAATGTGACAGCCGCATTCTGCATAGTTTTATTATCATAAGCAAATACAATGCATCAAATGGCCCAGATGAAATATCCATTGATTAAATATTATCAGACATACTCAAAATAGGTTTTCTAAAATGTTTTCATGCTAATTCCTCCCAATTTGATGAAAATTTTCAATGTCTTAGGGTGTGTCTTATAATTTTACGAAATGTGTACTTTTTTAACAAATAGATTTTTACCCACATTTGACCCACATTGAAAAAACTTGTCATCATGGTAGGACATGATAAGTAGTAGATTGTCTGTAAATATCATAATGATTGTTTTGATATTTAAGGAATTATAAATGGCTTTCATAGTACGCTCTAATGTGTACTTTTTAACAAATGATTTCTGTTACCATAGCAACCATTTGCCCCGCATTTATGAAATTTGTCATACTGTAAGAACATGGTGAGTAGATAACTACCTGTCAATAACAAGATGATTGGTTAGATATTCTAGGAATTATATATGGCTATCATAGTACCTCCCTTAATGTGTACTTTTGAAAAAATGATTTATGTTTCCATAGCAACCAATTGTTACACATTCATGAAAATTGTCATGGTTGTAAGACATGATATGTAGACTATTACCTGTAAATATCAAGATGATTGGCTGTATATTCTAGGAATTATAGATGGCTTTCATTGTACCCCCATAAAAATCATACCAAGGGGGTATAAATCTGCATACTATAGTAACCAGTAAACCAACACTGATGGAACTTTCCATGATAGTCAAACATAATTATGTAAATAATATCTGTGAATAACAGGACAATTGGTGAATTATTTTCTTCAAAAATTTGGACACAAGTTAAGAATTCTTTGGAAAAGTGCCACGTCCCCTTTCTAAATTAATTTGCATTGCCATATAATCATGAGCAATACATTTCACTGTGTGGATAAGATAAAACAGCAGTTGATTTAATATTATCAAACATACTCTGAATAAGTTTTCAAAAATGTTTTTATGGTGTTTCTTCCCAATTTCATGAAAATAATATGTGTTTTGTCTCATGGGGTGTCTTACATTTTGACGAAATTGTGTACTTGTTGACATATGATCTCCGTTTCCATAGCAACCAGTTGACTAACTTTGATGAAACCTATGACTTTTGTAGGACATGATAAGTTCATGATTACCTGTAAATATCAAAATGATTGGTTGTAAATTCTAGGAATTTTACATGGCCTTCCTAGTACCCCCCCCCCTCAAAATCAAACAAGGGGGGTATAAATCTGAATATTTCCAAAACGCTGAAAAACTAGACACTAGTATTTTCAGAATCAATGTAGAATCATAAACCACAAATTACCTACATAAAGAGAAATTTGCTATTTTTCAAAACCACTTTTACACCACGCTCATCCAGTAGTAGTGTGATAATAAGCTGTACACTACCACTGCTGCATGTACATATTACTAATTTACTAGGGCTCCCAAAGAGTGGATAGGGAGGTTGTGTTTGTCACTTTTAAATTTTACATTTCAAAATTGTCATTTTACATGTCATAATTTGTTGGTTTCATTAGTTTAGCCAATCAAAACATTGTAAAACAATAAATTGTCTGTTACGTACAATCAATTTTGTTCAGTTTTGATTAGTTGTCAGAATAAAGTTACGTTCATCTGAATCCATGTATCAAAACAAAAATCCTATTTTCACTTCAAAATACTTCAGTGAGATGAAGGCTCGGAATTGTCACATGCAATAACTTATTGTCGTATTCGTTATTTTATCTTCTCGATAGTAGCATTTAGTCGCACATTTGATGCCAGGTCACCTTGTCGCGTACCTCTTGGGGAACCCCACATTTATGTGTGTACTCATGGAAGTAAATTCCCCGGTGTAGCCGAGAGCCACAAACTTTTCAACAGGTTCGAAATGACCAATTTCTCTCATATATACTCTAAATATTTTATTATTTAGCACCTACAAATAACCATATGTCATGTGACTTGCAAAACTTGGAGTTATAACAATCTTATATTAAAACAAAGTATGCCAATATGCATGTTATTGTGTCTAGAATGAAAAATAATGTTTTGCTTTATAAAAAAATCTTCAAAAACCAAAGAATATTATTTAATAAAATAAAGAAAATTCAATTTATAAAACTTTAAAATCAATTTCTCAAATAAGTACAATTATTTCTTAATTTTGGAATCTCAGGACACCCTTCAAAAAGAATTTATTGCCTTTGAAACTAAGGCAGAAATACAATGCATTGAAACCAATGATGCCAGTACGGTCCCCCACATATTTCCCTCGGTATAAACCCTGTAGCCTAAACCTCCCAGCACATTACAATGTAGCCCCTTAGGGCCGGTCAGCTGGTCATTATCAGGTTATTTTTGATACAGACCAGTTGATTTTTTCACTGGGTATAGGAGAATAACATTGCAACTGGTCCGTAATTCCATTTTGACCAGCAGGTTTCAGATCCTTAGGGCCTAAGACATAACCAATTTTTATTACATGCACATGGAAGAAATTTGAAAATTGAAAAATAATTTCTAATTCATTTTAGATTAATGAAAGTGATGAAACCTCGATTTAGGTAATCACATTTTGTTCATTGGGATGCAGCTATCATTATCCATTCATTTTCTGTTGTTTGCTACTCTGTGGAGTACAATTGGGCATTGAAGCAATTGTAGAAGTGGAGAC